AGCCTTATAAATTATTTTTATATGGTTTATTTATTAATTAAAATATGATGGGCTGCGCAAGTCCAGTACAGAATATATAATATACAAATTAATTGACATAATAATTATTATACATTTATATTATTAGATACTGCTATTAAAGCATGTTGTGGACGCGAACTCAAAGATTTTACCAATCCATAAAGCGTCCAGCGCAACACGTCATGTTTACAGCTACAGCTATATTGTTATCATTTGCATGTCGGTAACTCGAGCGCATAATATTTTAACCATCCAAAAAGCGTTCAACGCACATATCATATCCGCAAGACGTCATGTTTATAGCTACTTCTATATTGTTATCATTAGCAGGTCAGTGACGACAGCTCATAAGATTTTACCCATCTAAAAAGCGTCCAGCGCGCGTATCGTATGCGCAACATGTCATGTTTATAGCTACAGTTATATTGTTATCATTAGCATGTCGGTGACGCGAACTCATAAGATTTTAACCGTCCAAAGAGCGCCCAACGCACTTAAAGAAGTTTTCACTTCAAAACCTACTGTTACCAACCCGCCTGATAAGCTTGGCAACTATGGCAAATATCTTCACTATGAAGCAATCTATGGAGTAGGCCTATATTAAGCAGTGGACTTTTAATAGACTGTAAAGAGGATGATGATGATGAAGATATCTTAATCTTCATATCATTTAACTTAAAAATATTTTTAAATGGGACAAATCGTTATTTTATTTTATTATTTCTAATTGTTTTTACTGACTAATTTTACGAGGTTATGTATAAAGTAATTTTTGTGGTAACGGTAAAAAGAATCCATCACTCCAAGTCCTGCGGCTGTTTAACTGTCGGAAATGTCAGAAAAAAATTATGGCGTCTGATAAATGGCTATTTCTTTTACTTCAGACGTAAAATACCCAAACCGTCGACGGGGTAGACCCTCCATACATCGTTGAAGACCATTGTCTATCAATGTACTCAATAGTAAATGAAAAATCTGATTAAATTTAAGTATAGTATACTAATAAACTATAACAAACGCCTCCATATCGTCGAATAATTTTTTACTTTTTGGATTTATGCGTTCAGATCCTGATAAATCAGCGCGTGTAACTTCGTGTGTTAACGCGAGCTATTTTGAATTTGTTAAGTATATTTATAACATGACTAAATATTAACAACTTGGTATAAATTATTTTGTATTTTTTAGGTATTTCACTTATATAAAATGTACAAATTTTTCTTCCAAATATTAACTTCATCTGCAAGCAGTACGCTGATAGACGATTTTCTCAAACAATGATAGGTAGGAGAAAATCCATACAAAAATACCAATTCTGCAAAATCAGGCCTGGATTTTGCAATTCTAGGTAAAAGCTATTTCCGGGAAATGTATGCTAGGTGTACATATTATATTAATCAGTGAACTGCTAGCGAAGAGTACATTTATATATTATTCCTTTTATCGCATATGTATGATTAAAAAAGTTCCAATATTGAGCGCAATCCAACACAAATGTATTATTGAAATTCGGCTTCATATATAAGATAGCATATACAGGTGCGTTTAATATTAGAAGATTTTCGTACTTCACTACCCTTAAACCGTCTGAATGACTCTATATTAAACAAGATTTGCACTTGCCGCAGTTAAATTGAAAATTACAGTAATAGTGGAACGAAGCGAAATGCTAGAGCTTTAATGGATTTTCTATTCATTCCTATGAAGTTAAATGTTGAGTCTTATTGCGCCTAGTTATCTAGTTAATGTTGTAATCGAACTGACGAAGGTTTAATCGTATTTTATAATAAATAATTAAATGAATAAAACTGTTATCCAATCATTTGCTACATTAAATAAAGTAATATTACGATATGCATTGTAACGAACTTTGTATTAAACATAACATATATTACGTCTAGGAGATGAAGTGCCTAGATTTCATAAATAGGTGCAGCTGATTGCGGTTGGTTAATCTTAGGTATATATTTAATTTGTCCGAATAATTTATAAAAAAATATCAATTCCCGCAGCTTTCTTGTTCAGCCGTGCCTCTGATATTACTCGATATGTGCTTTATGTGCGTATTATTGACACAGATGTCATAGTTATATACCTACCTACTGTCGCTGATATTACTAAATGGTACTGTCTTTTTTTAGTAAAGTTAATAGATGTCATAGTAATTTTAAATATTTTTCGGATTAAACAATACCTAGTTTTATCTAAGAGCAAGCAGTCACACCTTTTTTTTCGTGGGGAAATCCTCATGGATATCTCTGGCTGCGGAGGCAACCGAAAGGTTATGCCGGACTCCTACCGGCTAAAACCCCACGGTGGTCTCCTTCAGCGTGTACGAGGGGCCCGGGATCTCCGTTCGGAATGCAACCGGGGCCCCTCTCTGGCTGTGTTTTATTGGAAGCACGTCCCGGGGGCAAAACTTACTACCCCCAGCAACCTCACAGTGCTATTACGATGTCTCGGGACCACTTTCGCGCCATCGTCCTCCTCGGGGATTACGTTACTAGGCATTCAAGGTCCCCGCTCCAAACGCCTGCAACCCCAGAGGCCCCGTTTCTGATAGGGGAACACCATTTTCAAAGTGAGGGCCGAGACGAGCGCCTTGGTGGCGTCGTCTCCAAGTGGGATCTGTCCTCCGCCGATCCCACTCAGCAGCCTCTTTATGGCCCATTGCAGACTCACAGAAGGTGGCTACGGCCCTACACGCCGAGTCCTCGCTCGGCATCGCCGATACGTCTGCTGGCAAGGAGAGGTCCCGACCGACCCGGTTTTCCAGGATCGTCCACTCCCGTTTCTACGCTGGACATACCGATAGCATGGTCTTGTTTACCGCAGCGGAAGCAGTTCGCCGTCGCTTCGCGTCCGATCTTACACAGATAATCACCGAAGCATCCGTGCCCGATAATTATCAGTGTAAGTCTGTAGGTGAGTCTTCCTACTCGTCGCTGCATCCAGGCAGTCACACCTAGTTTATGCCAAAAATAAATCGTATGCACTTAAGCTTAACCAATCGCAATTGGCTGCACCTAAATGTAGCCGGCTAAACCTAGGTACAACCGTTGCTAAACTGGCCCCAGTCACCGGCGGCGTTTCTGGCTACGGTGGCGACCATACTAATCGCGGGGCAGTGAGTGTTAAGAATCTCCAGTGGAAGTTCCAAACCACCTAAGACGATTCAAACTGGCAACATATAACGCATGCACCCTGAGTACTGACGAAAAGATTCTGGAGCTTTTTTATAGAATATGGGGCAAACGAGCATGTGGCTGCTGATAAGCGTGATGATAAGCCTGATGATAAGCGACTACTATCGCCCATGAACAACCGCAAAACCAGGGGAATTGCAGGTGCGTTGCCGGCCTTTTAGAAAGAAGTAAGCTCTTTGCTTGAAGGTCCCTAAGTCGTATCGGTCCGTAAAAATTTCCGGTGGAAAACTGAAAGTGAAAACAGACAAGTTGCACTGGCATATTATACGATTATCTGAGGTCTGAAGAGAGGGGAAGTACGCGGTAATCCTCGAATCCGGCAACTTATTCTATCATCGGGAGGGCAACCATCGTCCACATGTCTCTCGTTAACAACGTTGTACGACGATGCTTGCGTACCATAAACTCAGAATCACCAAACGCTATGCGCTGAAGGTCATATAGGTTTACGCACTAACCTCGGCACATCCTAATGAGGGGGTGGAGGAAATGTATGAGGATATCTCTAGAGCCTACGGTGTTAATGGGGGACTTCAACGCATAACTTAGCACAAGAGAAAACGGTGAGCTGAAATTAGGTCAATTCCAAATAGGACAACCGAACTCAAGGGGTCACCAGCTGGCTGAATTTATAGAGAAAGTGGGACTCTGTATGATATAATTATAATAATAAATATTTTATTTCTCAAAAACTAATTATACATGTTTTTGAAACGCCCCAGAGAGTAATTTATACTCGTATTGGGGATGCCACGCTCTCAACCCATTTTACAGATTTTAGGATATAAAAGTACTTACATAATTAATAAAGAAAAAGTTTATTACAAAAAAGAAAGTTAAGCTTCATAAACTTTACTAACTTGTGTGTGTGTGTAAGTGTGGGTATGTGTGTGAGCCTAATTTATGATATATGGAACTTACACAATTGTATCTGTGAGTATCTCTGTTTCATTATAACTTACATCTGATAAGAAATTAGTTAATATCCTTTTACATTCATATAACTTTTCATTCATATATTTAGTTTTCAGTTTAAAGTATTATATAAGTAAACAGACCGTGATGTCAGTTAACGACGAGCAAAGGCAAGTACGTACTGCGCGAGATGGTGCAACTTTGCGCGTAAATGTGTCCAGCCTTGCACTTTCAAGAAAGCGGAAAACTCCCAAGGCAGCTACTAGTGGCATCGACTGCCTCTCCATTTCTAGCCGCCTGATCATAACAGATCGTAATACGAAGGTACAATATCGTATAGATACGGTTTCAAACGTGTGCGCCTTTCCACGATCTGCTGTTCAGGAGCCTCGAATCAAAACCAGTATAATGGACCACATATAATGGATACTTGCTTTTGACTCTGGACCTTCGACTAAGACGTGCATTCTCATGGCGCTTCGTGGTAGCCGATGTCTCCAAGCCCATCATCTGCGTAGATTTTATAAGTTACTATAACTAGTACAATTACACTGACAACCTCAGCAGTAACTCAATGTTCTTCGGAAGCCTTTTCATCCATACGCACAGTTGTTGATGATATGGTCTACCATCGTCTATCGAAGGAGTATCTTGTTGTCACCCGATCCGCTGGTAAGCCATATATTGTCAAACATTCTACGGTACATTACGTTCGTACTACTGAAGGCCCAACAGTATCCAGTCGCCCCCGGAATAATAAATGTTTACCTTCGCTTTATTCTACACGCAGCTTCTACTCAAGCGCCACTCAATCAGCTAATCGCCGGCCCCAAAGTTAAAGGATAGCATCCAATCGAAATGACACCAACACTACTGGATGCTTTTAATCAATGTAAGAAGGGCCTTGCAGATGCCACATTGCTAGCTCATCTCGATTCACAGACAGAGTTATCGATCCAGACGGACGCTTCAGATACGGCTATAGGAGCTGTACTGCAACAATACGAGGACAGCGAATGGCAACTTTTAGCATTTTTTTCAACAAAACTCAGCCCAGTCCAGAGAAAGTATAGCCCATACGAACGCGAGATTTTAGCAATTTATGAGGCCGTTAAGCATTTCCATTATATGTTGGAAGCAAGAACTTTCGTAATCATCACGGACCATAAGCTACCTGCATTCGCTTTTTCCTCAAGCCGCGAAAACTGTTCGCTACGTCGGTTCCGATATTTGAACTTTATCAGCCAGTTCAGCACTGACATCAGATTTGTAGCTGGAGAAGATAACGTAGTCGCAGATACCCTTTCGCGTGTTAATGCCCCCATTTCTGTACACTTAGATTACCAATCTCTGGTCAACGCACAAGAAACCAAAAGCATGTTGCAAGAGCTCCTGAAAACCGGGTCAACCCTGAAACTCACGAGAGTGAGAATGGACGAGCAAAACTTGCAAGTATACCACGACATGTCAACCCACAGCCCGAGAACCTTCATCACACTTTCGTTCCGCAGATAGGTATTAGATTCACTTCACAATTTAAGTCACCCTAGAGCGAAGGCAACCACTAAAATGCATACTCAACGGTACGTATGGTCAGGTATAAGGAGACAAAACAGCAGATCGTCGAAAGACGCACACGTCTGAACCCGTATCTATGCGATATTGTACCTTCATCTTACGATCTGTTATTATCAGGTGGCTAGAAATGGAGAGGCAGTCGTTTACCGCCACTAGTGGCTGCCTTGGGAGTTTTCCGCTTTCTTGAAAGTGCAAGGCTGGACACATTTGCACGCGCGGTTCCTGAAACGGTAATGGTACCAACAAAATGGATGATCCTTGGGCCTGGAACGTAAACGAGAGTAGTTTATTTATTTATTTATTTATTTTAACAGATACACCATTGGCTTATCACTAGACATTATAAGTATAACACAATTGGTTTTGTTCAAAGTGATTTGCCTTTAAAGGTATGCACAACATTCGCAGAAATAGTGCAGCTACAATAAGACAGTTGTTAACTTTCTTAACTAGAACAATATTATTAATAAATTTACAAGTAATTTGCTTACAAAAAAAAAACTAATGCTAAACTTGAAGAAGATAGAAAGAGTTATAAATACTTATTACATAATTTAGCAAATTCTGATACGTTATCCGTATGGAAAATGTCGACATCGCCGTTGGTGGTTATGTCGTTAAACGTTTGCATTAACCTATTTATTGGGGCTCGTTTACCTAAATTTGTTCTATGGTTAGATAAACAGAAGATTTTGGGAATCGGTTGTCTTGGTATAGATCTTGGAACTCTGATACTTATTTGATTTAACAGTGCCGCGAGTAGTTGCGAGAGCGTTGTCCAGAAAATCTTGTTTGTGAACGAGATTGTCTTAGCTCCATGCTCATAGTCCCAATCCGTCGACTAAGTTTGGCTACCGACTTCGTAACTATGTCTAAGGTCATATTAGTAGCCGTAGTTAGCCCAGTGTGAGACATTACTGATGTACTAGCTACTTGCCGACTTACTTACGCAGTTGCTGGAACGATATCGTTAATTCGTTTGGCGAGTTCCGCTAAATCTTCAAGTTTCATCTAACTCTCCTGTGCTTCTATGCAAGTTTGGAGGTGCGTAGGTAGACGACTAGCCTAGATAGTCCAAATAAAATCTGTAGGGACAGTGACTCTAGCTAAATGTTGTGAATGCCGAAGAAATTGTGTTGTTTTTCTATCGCCCAATTCTTCGTGCATAAGGATTTGTTTGATCTTACGCTCCTGTGACGCGGACAGTCGTTTGATCAACTCCGACTTTAGCTTCTCGTACTTGTCTGTTGCTGGCGGGGAAGCGACCAATCTCTTACTTCCGCTGTATGTTGTGGTTCTAGCTGAGCAAGTAAGACGTAGAACTTCGTGGCGACGGCCGAGATACCAGACAGTATAAACTGAGCTTCGATATGGGCAAAGCATAGTTCTGGGTCGTCCGGGTTAAACGGGGGCGCTCGCGGTCCAACACGGCAAGTCTTCACTACTGCTGGATTTTGGCTGGTACTAGCGTTGTCCCTGGCGCTGTTTCCTTCTGCAATCATCTTTGCTGGCTGCTGCACACTCTGGCGAGACGTAAACTTCTCGGGGTCACCAGTGAAACGACCTGGACTAGGTAAAACCAGGATCGCTTACGAGCTTCTAACGTTCGATCGTGGATCTACCTCCGAAGATAGGCTTGGTACTGACTAAATATAGCAGAGATATTAAAACGAACGTTGAGGTGACGAACTATTTACTTGAGTTAACAAAATAATAAGCATTAAAAAAGACATTACATTGCCTTATATACAATAATATTACGCTCCCACTATACGCGAAATCTTAATGAAGTACGGATACAAACATTATGACTGCCATGACATTTAAAATTACTAAAACAGACATTTAAAATAAATTTTAGTACACATATCTTACAAATTATGACACTCGTTTGTCAGCACGTTTTTGAGCCTTTGGTACAAGTCGATTATATTTGCAATAATAAAGATAAATAACAAAAAAAAAATGGATCAAACATTCTCTAAGTTGATGAAAATGTTCTTGTATTACTCGAAAAAATTTTTAAGTTAATCAGGGTGTTCATGTAATGTTCCCTTATAAGAGGGGCGTTGCCGGAGACACATACCCAAGGTTGTGCATATATATGGGGTTGTCGGCTGACCGACTACTAGTAGTAAGGTTGCACAATGACTAGTCCTTTATTAGGGACTTATGATAGTAAGGTAAGGTCTTTGGAACCAAAGCATTATTATAGAAGGTCGCTATGATGCATAAACATTATGATAGCAGAGTTATGACTTGAAGTCCCATATGTATAAGACTTATAATAGTATGGTCCATATATACATATATATACCATATGTAAAAGCATTATATTGAAAGAAATGGGACTTGAAAAGGATTATTATAGTGGTGTGTAGGTTGCTTCGCAGCCTCTGAGACCGAGGTAAACTTGGACTCGCTAACCGATGTGTCCTAGACATATCATCTTAGTGCCAGTGGTAAGCGGGTTTGTTGTAGCAATACGACTTGCCTGTGGACATCGCACGCCCCTACCGTTTGTAGGCGGCGTCTTAGCGCATAGCGTTATGATACGTCGGCTATCTTTTGGATTATGGTGAGTGTGTGTTTGGTAGTACTTTTAATTGCAGCAAGCATACTCAACTCCATGTCTTAGTGCAATAGCGCTATGATACGTCGAGTTTTGGCTACTGACGTCTTAGTACCGTGCTACTATGATACGTTGGTGGTATTTTTAGTTTACCAAAGTCGATAGGGATCATGTAGGTGTGATATGAGAGGGCGCCATCCATATGATAGTTGCATTGATGCTTACTGCTACTTGCGGTATTGCGTCTTGTGATGAGTCTGCGGGTGTGCTGCGCCTGATACGACGTATCTTGAGGTTCTGGTCGATGGAAGTATGCGGGTGGTGATGCCTGCTGGGACTGTATGGGGGACCTTGTGATGGTGTAAGCCGACAATAGTCGTATTAATGCTTGTTGCGTTGTGCAGCAATGCGTCTCTGCGATGGTTGTTTGGTGGGTCGCTATTCTCAACGGCGCTCCCTGCGTCTTGGTTTGACACACATCCTACCAAAAAAGTAGCTTTGCCCAAGTCGGGTCCCTTCATTGCGGGGCTGCAGACTGTATGACCTTAATAATGTTTTATATAATAACATAATAATATATCTCTATAAATTTCCCACTTTTGAATGGATGAAGGCACCTAGTTGGTGGGTGAGACAAACATGAGTGAAAATACATATACTCAACGCCAGTGACACAAACCCATTCTGATGGCGAATTATTACTATTATCTTATAAATGCCCATTGCCTATTACTGCCATTGTATTGGTTGATGGAGCATATGTGTCGACCTCATGCGGGTGGTTGCTGGAGAGAGAATTTGAGGAGGCTCTCAAGGCTGCGGCTGAAAGCCGTGGAACGTGGGACCACATGGCCTTGAGGTGAGCGGTAGACTCATGACACGCTCTGATACCAATTGGCCTTGCTGATCACACAATTGCTGGTGATGCCTTACACAATTAGGTGGCAAATACATTCTGTAATAGGCTGATATTAAAGAAGAAATAGCATTTACATTTAGCAATTTACATTTTAGGATAACAGCCAAAAATATTCCTTTTATAAATATCGTAGGTATTACAATTTTTCTTGTCAATTTTCTTTCTTTTTTACACGCACATAAACCTTGGTAGGTTTTATTGTTATTGAATCATATTGTACTTAGTTTAGACCTCCGTGATATCTTATTGAATTTTCTAAGATATTTTATTTCTGAAGCAAGACATAAAACACATTTGAATTTTATCAACTCTATATCTTTACACTCCCTTGGAAATTTTTTCGTTGTAATAAAAAAAAGTTTCAAAGTCGAATGAAGTTTGACATATTATACAAAAATGTGTTCTTTAATACGTAAATTAAATCTTTTATAATGGGTTAGACGGGTGTTATATTGTTAGTCGAAAATCGTCATCGCACCGCCAGACACCCGTGCTGTCAAATACCCCGCAAAGGGAATGACGGCCCATTAAATAATAATTATTTAAATCATTTTCAATATGGCGTCTTATCGACTTAGATTTAAAAGAAGGCGGTGATCGCATCTTACGGTTAAGATACGAGATTACGCTACCGGTATTAAATATTGATAGCGCTATTTTTTAAAGGTAGTCCAAAAGCGGTTAAGATTCACCGATTTCCAATCGGTGTTAAATAACGATTGCGCTATTTTTTATGGGTTTTGTTCCATCTTTGTATAACCTTTTTACGGTGGTAGAGCCACGCAGCAGCTTTTGCTGTTGCACGTATAGGCCGGCTCGAGCCGCAAAATTCCGCTCAAAAACATAACTGCTCTGTGACGAAATCTTACCCAACAGGCGAATGCGCCGCATGTATTGCCATGTTTGTTCCCCTATTTATTAAATTTTATTTTACTTTTCTTGGAATATTTTTAATACATTCTCTCAAAAGAATTATAAGATCAGGAATATATCATGATACCTAGAAGCACCCTTACAGATCGGACAGGTAGTGTTGATGGGCTGCTGGTTTCTCATGCACCGCCACCACACGTAAATACTTTATGGTAATGTAAATAGTTCCGCTCAACACAATAACTGCTCGGGGCAAACTGAGCAACAAGACCAAGGTGACCCCTGCCACGCTATCCGTGAAATTCTGCAACATCAGGGGACTTCACTCGAACCTAAACGCCGTCCACTACAATCTCGAGACGGCCAAGCCGGCCTTGCTCTTTCTGACCGAAACGCAGGTGTCCTCTCCGGCTGATCGTGTCTCTCCTGCCCGGGGTGCAAATTGGAGCACTCCTTTGTGCCTCGGGCTGGAGTTTGCGTGTATGTCAGAGAGGACATCTGTTCTCGACGCCTCGGCAGTCTTGAAGGCTCGGACCTGTCCATTCTTTGGCTACGCGTAGACAGCGACCACCA